AGAAGGATTCCGATTCAAAGCCTCTACAAAAGGATTCCGATTGAAAGCCCAAACCAAAGGATTCCTATTGAGACCCTCTACAACATGATCCCTATTGAAAGCTCTACACAAGGATTCCGATTGCGTTCTTCTACAGTAGGCTTCCTATTGAAATCCTGTACAAAAGGATTCCGATTGAAAGCCTCTACAAAGGATTCCGATTGAAAGCCAATACAAAAGGATTCTTATAGAGAGCCTCAACATAATGATGCCCATTGACAGCTTCTACACAAGGGTTCCGATTGAGAACCGCCACAAAAGGGATACATCCCCGCTTCGAAAATTTTCGCTTCAAATCAGCAGTACAACACCGACGGATCAGCGATGGGCCACCAATGGCGACGCCGCTCGTTCCTTGGATGGGTGGGGCCCCTGGGCCCCGATTCGCGAACGCGACGCATACGTTTTTTCTTTTGTCTTATCCAAACTAGTTGCCAGACGATTAGGCGCGAGGACAAACACTGTCTGCGAGGCCAAAATCACACATCAAACTCCGCATGCAGTATTGGCTAGAACTTTACCATCCACTCCTTGGCCACATTCCCGCCCTCTTGGAAACGCATGCTTCCGCAAGTGCGAACACATACGGTTTTGCTGTTGCCACACGATGATGCGCGAGGACAAACATGGTCTATGTGCAAGCAACCTGCAACTCGACATCCTCACGTATTGATTACACATGTTCCAATGATGTCATTGCCACATTTGCGGTTTTCCTGGGAACGCATGCCTCCGCACGTGCGAAAGTATCCGGTTTTGCGATCGCCAGACGATGGGTCGCGAGGAACAGATTCGTGATGCAACCTGTTTTATTTGAAATCCACATGTCTCAGCAAGAAAGTCCAACGATTTCATGGCCACGTGCCCGCTCTCCTGGGAGCGCGCGTGTTCCTCGGCGTCTTTTGCAGCGAACGCGTATTGTCCTTCTACTGTCAGAACAAGCACGGTTTTCAAGCAGAGGTTATGAGGTTCAGAAAAATCACACCACACACTGCATATTAAGGGCATAGAGGTAAATAAAGGCTTAAGCCGTTCATGCCTGTCACCAGCCTGTAGCGGGATGGTCGCCAATCCGGTTGCAGTATGAGTCAATGAGGACAGGTTCTCTCGATGGGTTACAGTTGGTCCCGGTGGGGTCCCAACAG